TTTATTTGTAATCTGATTGTCACAAAAATCATATCAAATTTCATATTTTTTTATTATCTTTCATATGACACCAATATTGTATATATAAATATATAAATAATAATTTAACTCTTTAATAAAACTCATGTTTTATAGTGGAATAACTTTTTCATTTGTCCAGATTACCATCATTTTTTTCGTGCACACTATTAATCTAGAGTTATAGCTTAGAGTAAAATTGCAAAATTTCCATTGCAAAGAATAAAATAATAAATAAAAGTGATAGAATTTGTGCAATTTTATTATAAGTTATCGCTTCATATTAATAGTGTGCATGGTAAAAAAAGAAAATAAACTGCATACATTAATAGAATTTATATTTTTTATCTATATATTTCCTCTGTCTCTTAAAACATTGTCAAGCTAAGTTTGATCGGCATAGAGAATACTCCGTAATAAAATAAAAAACCGTGTAATTGAAAGTTGTGCGGAGGAGAGAGAAATAAAAGAAATTACAAATCAATTGATTAGAAGAGAAAATGGAAAAGTTTTTGGGAAAATAAAAAAAGAAAAGATGACAAAATTTAAGGGACGGGGAAAGTATATGCAATATTAGTGCCCTATGAATGATAATGAATTATTTGTCCGCTTACCTTATCTTATACCAAAACTTTTTCATTTGTACTTCAAGTAGTATTTATCAAAACTTTTTGGTATAAGATAAAATAAGCGGACAAATAATTCATTATCATTCATACGGCACTAATATTGCATATACCTCCTCCGTCCCTTAAAACTTTGTCATATTTTCTCTTTCTATTGTCCCAAAAACTTTGCCATTTTCTCTTCTAATCGATTAATTTGTAGTTCTTTTTATTTCTCTCTCCTCCGCACAACTTTCAATTACACAGTTTTTTACTTTATTATTCTCTATACCAATCAAATTTTACAATGTTTTAAGAGACAGAGGAAGTATATAAATAAAAAAATATAAATTCTGATAATGTATGCAGTTTATGATCTTTTTTTTACCGTGCGCACTATTAATCTGAAGCGATAACTTATAATAAAACAGCACAAATTCTATCACTTTTATTTACGATTTTATTCTTTGCACTGGAAATTTTGCATTTTTACTCTAACCTATCACTCTAGATTAATGTGCACGAAAAAATGATCGTAAACTGGACAAATGAAAAAGTTATAACACTATAAAACATGAGTTTAAAGAGTTAAATTAATATTTATATATTTATAAATACAATATTGGTGTCATATGAAAGATAATAAAAAAATATGAAATTTGATATAATTTTAAGCAGGGACATTTTCTCTCATATGCAGTGCTTTTTGCTATAAGAAAAGATAAACATACTAATAATTGAACGAGCGAATTCCGTCTCTCATATATAATGCTTTTAGGTATACCATAAGCGAATTAATAATTGAACATGAGAATTTTCTCTCTGATGTGTAGTATTCTTATGAATAAAATAAGCAGACTAATAATTGGGCGGGAGAATTTTCTCTTTCATTCGCAGTACTCTTAGATACTCCGTATAAAATAAGCCGACAAATAAATGAACAGGAGAATTTTCTCTCTCACGTGTAGTGCGACTTTTTGGTATAAGATAAGATAATCGGACAAATAATTGAGCGGAATAATTTTCTCTCTTACGTGTATGTAGTGCTTTTTGCTATAAGATAAGCGGGCTAATAATCCAACGAAAAAATTTTCTCTGTCTCATATGAAGTGCTTTTACGTATAATATAACCGGATTAATAATTAACCGGGAAAATTTTCTCTCTCATATGTATTACTTTTAAGTATAATAAGGTAGGCAGACTAATAATTGAGCGGGAGAATTCGCTCTCTCATATTTAGTATTTTTAGATATATGATAAGCGAACTAATAATTGAACGAGAAAATTTTCTCTCTCATTTGTAGTGCTTTTTGGTATAATATAAGATAAGATAAGCAGACTAATAATTGACCTGAATATTTTCTGTCTCATAAGTAGTGTTTTTATGTATAAGAAGATAAACAGATTAATAACAGTTGAGTGGAAAAATCTTCTCTCTCATATGTAGTGTTTTTAGGTATAAGATAAGATAAGCGGATTAATAATTGAGGTGGAAAATTTCACTCTCATATGTAGTGCTTTTAAATATAAGGTTAGCAGACTAATAATTGAGTGGAGAAATTTTCTTTTTCGTATGTGGTGTTTTAGGTATAAGATAAACAAATAATAACTGATCAGGAGAATTTCCTCTCTCATATTTTCTATCTCAAGACCTTTTAAGCTTATGTGAAGACATTTTTCAATAAAGATCTAGCTCTATCAGTGGAAAAAGAAGAAATTTTTCTACCTAGACATATTTTAGTCATGTAAAGCTTTATATGTATGCCGTTATCGAGGGGGGAAATATGGATTGATGATTTTATTAATACACTATAAGAAGAGAAAAGCACTAGATGTTAAAAGTTCTCTTTAAAGCATTTTTTCAAAACTCTAACAATTAAGTTCAATATTTTATTATTTGTTGCCAACAATGCTAATTATTACGTATCAAATTCTAATGGATAGTGTTGATTTTTTTACTTTAATTTTCTTTTACTTTGAATATTTGTGGTATGGATTTATACTTTTTGATATTAACTTATTGTACTCCATTTTTTAAATGATATAGAATTCTAAAAAAACATTTTTATATTTAATTAGATCATGAACATAAATATATAAGGATCAACTGTTTCCCGTGCGTATGCACGGGTGCTGTGCTAGTATTGTATAAAAGTCATATTTAAAAAATAAAAATATACATAGTCCTATTTAGAAATTTAAGAAACAATTCAATCATATTTAGGCTAATAACTCAATCCTCACTACAAGTCATTAATCATATTTAGTAGCACAATACTAAAATGTGATTGGATAAGAAAAGGTGTGTACCGGTGCACTCAAAATTTAGGAGTGCATCGTAGAATTTTCCACATTTTTAATTAGTTTCGTTGTTTGTTGTTATAGAAATTACACACTTTTAATATAATTACTTTATTTTCTAGATAGTTGTACTTTGTTTAGACTATGATTATTCTGAACTTAAAACAGATCAAGATCATCTAAAGGATAAAGATTAGACCCTAAAAGATCAAGGAAAGTGCAAATGGACAAGACAAAAAGAAGATTGAAAAAATATTTCTTATGCTCGTTCGGGTATAGACAATACTCGATCGGGTATTGAGTTGATCCGGGTGACAAAATCAGAATCTAGAGGACAAAACAACGTGCAAGATTTTGAAGATTTGGCTCATACCTGACCGGGTATGCCGACATACTCGATCGAATATGTCCCGAAATGTCACTTTCTGGGAAACTTCTTTGAAGACCCAATCAAGTATCCTATATACCCGGTCGGGTATCAGACTCTACTACCTCCAAAAGCCTATAAATACATCATTTTCCTTCCTATTAAAGTCACCAATTCACATATACTATTAAGCTCGGTTTAGTTGACTGTTTTCTTTATATTTTCTAGCATGTTTAGTCCCCAAATGAGGTGCTAAATCCTTCCATCTTGGTTTTGTTACATTGAAGCTTATGATTTGTAAGTTGAGAGTTATTTTCTTTAATTATCTTCCTTGAATATTAATTACATTCCTATTTTATATCTTATATTAACTAGTTTTGTTTTCAATATTAATTATTACTTGAATCGATCAACAGATATGCTTGTTATTCGCTCAGTTCGGTCCTTTCAACGGTAGTAAACTTGGATATTTATGCATGTGTCTCATGGTTAATCATCTAAGGGGGATAATTGTTAAAAATGTTAATCGGTCTGGATCCTAATCGGGGTAAACAAAATAAAATATAGAACCTTTTAAAAATAACCGGATCATGGTCGGGTCTCCGTCTAGACCCGTCCCAATTGACAGGCTTAAATACAAATATTACGGAGTATTTGTCGAGTTTGGAAGCGGGCGACATGACCCATTCTCTATGAAGCACAAATACTTCATTAGGGAACCGTATCGGCGTATCGGAAACGTTCCTGTATCATATACTCTAGAATACTCGTACCATACGTTCTCGGACTGTATTTGTAATTTATCAAAAGTTTCCAACTTTTTGGTATTTATTTTAAAATTTTGGATACCCGTATCCTGACGGATACACGTATCAACTTTTTTTTAATAAAAAGACAACAAAAATTTACATAACAAATTAAAATTCTTAAAAAATGAAAAATTCAAAATAAATTACACAATCAAGTATATGGATGACAAGTAGAATGTGGGATGTTGGTGGAGATGACTTTGGAGCATGGAGGATATATGACTTTGAGATCGCCGACCTTTCCATAGATGAACTGAAATTGGAGGTTGTCCTTTTGATAGACGATGTTATTCGTGAAAATTAGTAGCTCTAGTGGAAATATGTACTAGAATTTTTACTTTTTTATTCGAGTATTGTTTTCTATCTCCATTATCCAAGAACTTTGCGTACTTGAACTTTTTAATTTCAAAATTGTGGTTATTTGACTCGTTTCTCATTTTAAATTAATGAGTTATTGACTATATTTATTTATATTCTGAGATAAAGAATGAATTTATTTCTAACTATCTTGATAATGTAAAATGTTTCAATGCCATGAACGAGCAGTCTGTCAGAGAATAATATGTCAATACATTTTCAAAAAAATGTAATTTTTAATACTACCTCCGTTCTCTTTTAATTGCAACGTTGGACCTTTTGCACTATTTACACATTCTAGTTTGACTATATTTTATTTATTAATGTATTATAAATAAAATTTTAAAAAATATTGTTAAATTCTGCTCATTTGAAATTTTCAAAATCTGAATTTATAAATTTTTTACTAATAAGGAATGAATGATATTAATGGTCAAACTTGTGCGTTGACAAACATGAAAAGTGGACTGTTGCAATTAAAAAAAACGAAAGGAGTATTTATAAATACATCCCCACAATTTTCAATGACCGTATCCTACTTTTTTTATTTTATGGTGTCTCCAAAACTTGTTTTCGCCTACCCCTATGGGTGCTACATGGCGCCCCAAGTCCTCCACGACATGACCCCCGCCAAGGCTGCCATCCCTAAATTGTAATTTTCCATAGAATCCACCCTCACCTAAAACTATTTTAAAGAACCAGGTAGTGTACGACTCCTCTGTTTACCGGACCAGACAATAATACAATATCATAGCTTTCGTACGTGGTTGTTTCGATCTCTGTTGATGTCTCGTGTGACGACTATACCCCGGACGAACTTTCTCGTGGAGCGCTCCTTCTCTATTACAACTTCTTCCGCCGATAACAAACGTTGAGCTACGACGAGGTCCGTTCCTAAGACTTTTCTCAAGAAATCGATTTGTTTTTGTACCAAGTCTACTCTATCGTTTCCTTTTCTGATATTGCGTTTGACTGAAACTAGTCAATTTACTTTTATGGAAAAGTTATAACTCCTAATGTTACGGCTAGTGATGTTTGAGTATTATTATTATCCAGCTAGTGGTTACATTAATTCTGCCTGCTTAGTTTATTACCCAGGATTTTAATTAAGATTCAGTTTTTGTTTGATTAGATAACTTTTAAAAAATAAATTCAGATTTGGTTAAGTAATGGATCTCATTTTAACATGTCAATCCAATCCCACAAAGTCGATTATATTTGTAGATTATGCCATAAGCTTCAACACTTCACTCTAATGATTTTATGATAGGAATGAATTTATAGGTGGATGGAGAGTAGACTAATCTGGGAAAGCCTATGCTCAATTTGAGTTTTAGTCAGATTGAGTTGCTCTTTTGAGCGTAATAGGTTGTAAAAATATATCAAGATTTGAAGTTTCATTCTAAAGGATGTCGGAGGGACCGAGGTAGTAAGTCCAGAGTGACACAATGTCGTACACGTGAACAACTTATATCTATCTTCATATTTAGCCTGTGTGTGATGATTTGATAGTACACTTTTTGGGTGTCGTAGGTATCAAAGAATTAGCCGCATGGGTGATGGTCCTACTGGAATAAAAGTTTTCCAGGAACATTTTCAAGCTTCAACATCAGGTGTTGACTGTCCTGAGAGCCCAACTCTTTTTACCCCTTCGAGAAATAGTTACAACAAGTCTTTTAGATCGTGCAGCGGGTCGTGGACCCAAAGTAAGTTAAAGAGCACATTATCAATGCTGAAGTTGTTAAGCCTGCGAAGATTACCCTGGGTTGCAGACACTGATGGCCAGGAAAAGGTTAATTATATTGCCTATTGCATTGTTATGCACTAATGCACCATAACTGTGATATTGCATTTTTTGGTTTTAATGGTATTATAATTTATTAATGTTATCAAACACAGGTGGTTTTAAGTGCAGTAGAGGTTGCATCTCTGCGATCTGAAATTAATGATTTAGAAGAAAGAGAGTCACATCTGAAAGCTCAGTGAGTAGAACCTTTGTAATGGTCTTATAAACTTTTTCGTGATTTTTTCCTAATTTTTATCTTTACTATGTTGAAGATTTGTGTCACCTCAACTAATTATGAAATTAAGAACTAATGTATAAGGCTTTGGGCTATCTTAGGATAAAACGTAAGTCTTAATACACTAACTTGTAGTAAGTTCTCTTGTGAAGATATATGTGATCAAAGCTAATAGTTTTGTTGCGTACAGATTAGAACATGTTGATGAAATACTACGATCGGCCCGTCTTTGTGGATATCTTTATATTAGAATGGTACGCTACTCTCCTCTTCTATCACTTATTTCCCATTATGCTCCATTAGACAATCTCACATCAGTCAAATATAAAAATACACTTCAGGTACTCTTCCTATTAGGCCGAATTGATTCAAGTCTATGTTTTGTGTTTTACATACCCAATGGGTATTTTGTGATATATCTTTTCGACAGAGATGGGCAGCATTACCCGGAGAACTTCCTCCCATTGATGATGCTGAAGTTGATGACTGGGTTCCAAGATTCATTGTCCTTCACGGATCATGTTTTTATCTCTATATGTGCTCTACAGGTAATGGAACTAATGTTTCTCTTGTTGCATTGTGCTATGTACATTCCATCCGTTGACAATTGTTTTTGCAGATATGAGTCCTCAGGATTCCACTTTGCTGTCAGATGTGGTCGAAGTAGCTCCACTGGCTTGTCTTGTGCGGGAAAGTGAGGAAGCTCGGCATGGCTTTTATATTTTAACTCGTCAAGGATTGCGATACGAATGCTCTAGTGCATCCAGAGTACTGGTATTTTCCCTCATTTCATCTCTATTCCAATGACTTACTGAATATTCGAGGTGTAAAAGTTTTCAAATGTCACAGCTGCTTAACCTCATTTCTTCAGGTTGATACATGGTTGGAATCATTACAGGCTGACTGTAAGATGGGCTCAAACTCAACACCTCTGAAGGCAGAGATGGACTCTTCTGAGACTTTAAACTTTAAACCTTTAAACGTCTCTCCCCAAGGGAATGAGTGCGCATAGGTTTGGACATTCCATAATTACTCAAGTGCACGTAGTAAACTACTAGATTGACATAGCTTTGTAATGTCAGTTCCTCTGTGAAATCAGTCTGAGAAAATTAGCAATTTACCATTAGGGGGTTATGGTGATGCTGTGTACACTGTACAGTGTTCAGTCTACTTGTCTCCTAGTTAGAAAAATCTCCACATCGATAAACATGACAACTTGAGGGTAAACAAACTTTTGTTCTATAATGTATTTGTGATTGGATGGGGCATGCTCTTTACCAAGCTTTGTTACACGTTATATAGTGTATGCACATTAGTTGGGCCTATAATTTAAAAATACAAGAAACAATCGTGTTAATTTACTTAATTATAAATCCGGAGTAATTGTAAATTTTAAGGAGATGTTCTGCACAGATTCGAAGACTCATGTGTCAATGTGTCATCATCATCACAGTTATATATCGAGTATTATTGTGGAACTGTGGAAATGAAGGGTATTGATAAAGGTTATCATGGTCATAATGTATTTAAACTATATAAAACATGTCTGTTTTATAATACACTCATTTTACTCCTACACAACCCTCAGTTGCAATAACGTTAGATAAATTTGTGTTTAGAATTGATCTAACACTATATGGAGAATATAAGTAGATTAATGGGGAATTAAGGAACTAGTGGTGTTTAATTTGGAGGATTTAGGTGTTTATTTTTTTTTGAAAGCATAACACTTATTTATTAATATTTATTAATAATAATGGAAGTGACAAGATACAAAGCAAACCAATAGCTCAGAGCTACCCTGAGATGAGACATAGAACTGATCAGCCCTGAGGACTCGACAAGTTTGCTAACCCTGCATCATAGACTAATCTAACAGTATCATTGCACTTGCTGCTAAAACAATTTGACAAAAAATTAGAGTTATTAAACTGGAAATAACAAATAGAATCATAACTCCTGGTTTTTGCAACCACCAGCAAAGGAGAAGAGGTTTGATCAACCACCTTCAAAGATGCTATTCTGATTTTACCAGCCATCAAGAAGGGAGAAGAGGTTTGTCCAGCCATCTCCAAAGAAGCATTCCGATTTTACCAGTCATCAGGAAGGGATGAGAGGTTTGACCAGCCACCTCCAAAGGAATCATCTTGTCTATCAGAATTTTAGGTGGTGCTGTTTCAGGAGCGCCGCCGCCTTGCTGTTTTTTGACTTCTACAAGGCACCCGACTCAAACACCAGATCTCTGCTTTCTTCATCCTCAATTGACATCCTTCCATAAGCCTGATTTAAGCTCTCCATTAATGGCCGTCAAATGAACACCAGATCCGAGATAGAGAAGAAGTTGTGAAACACAACGATCACAAGCCAATACACATTCACAAACGAAACAGACCAAACCCTCGATCAGAGAAAACTCAGCCGGACAGAACAACACGGGAAAAAACAAACAATGAAGAATAAGACCTGAAACACACCTAAATTGCATACGAAGCCCGCGAAGCCGCTCCAATCTTCTCCGTCGCTGAATGAGATCGGAAGGAGATGGCAGGGAGGTTGCCGCACTCTCCTGTGGTTTTCTCTTGACCGCCGCCCATAATTAAAATTTTTAGGTGTTCATAGTTAAAAAATGGAAAGTGTTCTTCATTGAGTGCTCTCTCCTTCGTTTGGGAATTGACAATTTTGAAATAAGAAAGTAAAAAATTAAATAAAAAAAGTTAGTAAAGTATTATGTGACTTATTTTCATGCACTCCAAAGTCCAAACCTTACAACTAGCTAAGTGTTTGACTGTGATTGTTTTACGGGAAACATATCTGGATCTGGGACGGGCCTACACGACCCGCTGCCCCGCACGATCCGACACTGTCTAGGCCCTACTAATGGGAAAAAACCAAATTAAGGGCGGTTTTAAAGCCTCACGCGTGGCGGTTTTGACCGCCACGTCGGATAATGACGCAAAATTTTTACGCACGGCGGTTTTTATATTTAGAAACCGCAGCCCATTAAAAGTATAAAAAAACAAAAATTTAATTCATTCGCGGCGGTTATTAACTAAAAACCGCCACATATCATGTTCCCGGGCAGCAATTTTATTGAGTTATTCGCGACAGTTATGACGTAATAACCGCTCCATATGGATTTTTTTAAATTTTATTTTTAGCGGCGGTTCTGATGTAATAACCGCCGCATATGTATTTTTTTATTTAAAAATTTTATTTTTTAGCGGCGGGTTTGACGTAATAACCACCACATTTTCCCCAATTTTTCATTATATAATTCAAATTAGGTAAAAAATCGATTTTTTAACAAAGCTACAACTAATAGATCATTAATACATCACCCGTTTAACATTAAAAATAATACATATATTTCTTTAAAACGTAACATACTGATTTTAAATTCCAGAATAATTCAACAACTAAATCAAATCGATACAACAAAGTCATAGTCATAAAAACAAGGGAGACTATCAAATAAGCTCTTGAACTTACAAAAAATGCAAATCAGTCCTTTTATAGGAGGTTCTGTCCGGCCATCGCCAATTGGGCGGTTTCCGTGGGAATTTTTTGATTAAATTTTTAAGAAATTGTCCAAAATATGGCTAAAACATAGTAAAAACTCCAAAATAGGACCATAAGTTTGTTATTCCTCAAATATGACTCCAGATTACAATTTTACCTTCATTTAATTAAACCCATCGACACCAGTGACCGACTACCTACGCCAGATGCAGATGCCATCTCTTATGAAGAAAGATCCATGGTTCATATATTGGAATTGCAGAAATTTCCCATGATCTTTGGCACGTTCGTCCCCATGAGCTTACCTCTTGCTTCCCGCCAGGATCTTGGCTTCCTGTCAAGGAGCGAAGACGTTCTTCCCCATGAGCTTGCCTCCTGCTTCTCGCCAAGATCTTGGCTTCCTGCCAAGGAGTGGAGACGTTCGTCCCCATGAGCTTGCCTCCTGCTTCCCGCCAGAATCTTGGCTTCCTGCCAAGGAGTGGAGACGTTCGTCCCCATGAGCTTGCCTCCTGCCTCCCGCCAGGATCTTGGCTTCCTGCCAAGGAGTGGGGACGTTCGTCCCCATGAGCTTGCCTCGTGTGTCCTGCCAGGATCTTGGCTTCCTGCCAAGGGATGGGGACGTTCGTTCCCATGAGCTTGCCTTTTGTGTCCTGCCTGCTCCCAAGGCCAAGGTTCCGTACATACGTCTTGCAATTGGGCCTTGCTGGCCTGTTGGGGACGTACGTCCTTGGAGACATCCGTATTGCCCTTAGCCGACGCTCCTGACGTGACGGTGGCTTCCTGCGCAGAAAAGAATGAAAATATAGAAGGTAGGAAAGGCGGCGGAAGAGAGGAATTGTTTTCATCAAGGGTAGTTTTGTCAGATTAACTATTTTTAGTCCTATTTTTGCCCAATAAAACATTGTAGTCTTATTCTTTCAATTTTACCTTCTTTAATCCTATTTAGGGAATTTTCTCTAATTTTTTTGAGCATCTTATTCATTAAGTCTAGTTTACTCATACCAAATTTTAGCTAAAAATACAATCGGGTATTTAATCCTATTTAGGGAATTAAGGAATTTAATCTAAACGATGAATGCAAAGAGGCTTTTGACACTCTGAAAGCAAGATTGGTGACTGCCCCGATCATACAGGCTCCCGACTGGTCTCTTCCTTTTGAGATCATGTGCGACGCAAGTGACTATGCGGTGGGGGCTGTTTTGGGCCAGAAAGTTGGAAGAGCCTCCCATGTCATCTACTACGCCTCATCAACCCTCAACGAAGCCCAAAAGAACTACTCCACCACCGAGAAGGAAATGCTAGCGGTGGTTTTTGCTTTGGAAAAGTTTCGATCCTACCTTCTTGGAACAAAAGTTATTGTCTACACCGACCATGCCGCTCTTCGATTCCTTATGACAAAGAAAGAAGCCAAACCAAGACTCATTCGATGGGTCCTTCTATTGAGTGAGTTTGATGTGGAAATCAAAGACAAGAAAGGAGCGGAGAATTTGGTGGCTGATCATTTAAGCCGCCTCATCCCTCACAAAGACATCGAAGACCTCCACACAAATCTCATCAAAGGAGAATTCCCGGACGAAACTCTCTTCTCCATCAAAGTCACACAATCATGGTACGCAAATATCGTGAACTTCCTCGTTTCCGGCAAATTTCCTCCACAACTCTCAAAATCTCAAAAAGAAAAATTAAGAATGAATTCAAGACTCTATGTGTGGGATGACCCATATTTGTGGAAGCATTGTAAGGATCAAATAATCCAAAGATGCATCCCTGAATATGAGATAGCCCACATCATAGAGTTTTGTCACTCTTATGCTTGTGGAGGACATTTCGGCCCGAAACGAACAACAATGAAGATACTTGAGAGCGGTTTTTGGTGGCCGAGTCTATTTCGAGATGCACACGGCTTTTTGTCGATCTTGTGACAATTGCCAAAGAGCGGGCAACATTTCCAGGAGGAATGAGATGCCACAAAACCCCATGCTTTTCTGTGAGATTTTCGATGCATGGGGTATCGACTTCATGGGACCATTCCCAAATTCCCAAGGTAACATATACATCCTTCTTGCAGTAGACTACGTCTCCAAATGGGTGGAGGCCAAAGCAACAAAAACTGATGATGCCAAGGTGGTGGCTAGTTTTCTCAAATCACACATATTTTCAAGGTTCGGGGTCCCTCGAATTTTAATTAGCGATCGAGGCACACATTTTTGCAATAAAATTGTGGGATCTCTACTGAAAAAATATGGTGTGACTCATAAAATTTCTACAGCCTACCACCCTCAAACAAATGGCCAAGCGGAGACCTCAAACAGGGAGTTGAAATCTATACTCCAGAAAACAGTGAACCCGAACAGGAAGGATTGGAGTATACGCATTGATGATGCGCTATGGGCATACCGAACTGCTTACAAAACCCCAATCGGTATGTCTCCTTATAGACTTGTGTTTGGGAAAGCATGTCATCTCCCTGTAGAGCTCGAACATAAGTCCTATTGGGCGGTTAAAGAATTCAACCTCAATCTTGACGAGGCCGGTGTACAGAGGAAGCTCCAATTACAAGAATTGGAAGAACTTCGCCTGGATTCTTATGACAATGCAGAAATATACAAAAGAAAGACGAAGGAGTGGCATGATAAAATGATCATACGAAAAGACTTTAAACTTGATGAAAAAGTCCTCCTATTCCAATCACGCCTTCGTCTATTTCCGGGAAAGCTGAGATCCCGTTGGACCGGACCATACAAAGTGGTCAAAACATATCCACACGGGGCGGTGGAAATTCAGGACCTGGAGACGGGAGAGGTGCTGAAAGTGAACGGACAGAGAGTAAAACCCTTCTTT